TATTTCAAAAAATTGTAACATGTTTCAATTAAATTAAAAAGAGAATAGTAAATAACTTAGTGTGTATTGCATTTTATGACATAAATGCTAGAAAGATGTATGTAAATGACATGCAAATTAATATGCAAATTTATGCTAATTAGGCCGCCCACCAGCTATTTTGGATTGTGGAGAACACTGCAATGTTACAGGGTACATCAGATCTACAGTTGAAAATGATGGGAAGTGAGACAAAATATTCTAGTTTGTTACAGAGTCAAGGCAGTCATGGAGTGTTGACCAAGATAGCAGTCCAAGTGGGAGAAAATTTAAATTGCATTGGTCAAAGATGTGTCTTTCAGGGTAAAATACGAAAACCTTACTTTTTGTTCATTCCAACAAAAATGAGAGTGCATAATAAAATTAGCATGTCGCATGATTACTGTCTGTACACCAGTTATATCATGTATGCCTAAATAAGTATCTGAAAAAACACAAATTTCTGTAGTTTATTACGCAAATTATTATCGTAAAACAATAAATTCTGGTGACCAACAATTTTGTACTTAGCAACTAAATTTTTCAGTTGCCACCAACAATTTTAAGTTGGGTTGCCAATGGCAACTAAAAAAATTCAACTTTGAGTGTTGTAATGATCTAATGTTATGAAAACAATTTGCTACATTTGTGACAATCTCACTTCCACTGGTGCAGCTTGATTTTGGACTAATTAATTTTTGTCTAAGTAAATACTATGGCTAAGTTGTTGTCTATTTTCATATTGCAATAACTACACATTTGTAAGTTGTAATTATCTGTATCATTTTGCTTCAACCATCTGGTGGGGGGGGGGGGGGTTGATGGGGTTATTGGAACATTGATAAGCACTTTCCCAGAGAAATTTCACGTTACCCAGTACCTGTACAAATCTTGTCATTCCAGTAGTACTGCTGACATTTTTGTGTCAGATGAAACTAATTGATATCTCACATCCATATTTGAAACAGAAAATACAACGATCATTTCCTGTGCCTAAATATACATTTAGCAGTGTAGAAAATGCAAAAAATAAATCATAGCATGCTCATTGCTGGATAGATTTCTCTAAATATAAAACTGGAAAGACCATAGAAAGTTGCTTGAAGGGAGTGAAAGTAAACACCATGGACACTGAGTGCAGACAATAAAAACAAGTTCATCCCTGTCAGTTCATTTCGGACTTGTGAATCTCCTGAAAAATCATTTCTAAAATTACATCTCATGACTTTTTGTTTACATAATTGTTTGTCTAATTTAAATTATTCATGAACTGATGATGTCACTCAAATCATCACTACAGTAACTGTACAGTACTATAAATATAATCATGTGGTACAAATACTATCTATAAATATAGCAGTCTCTGTAGTGACCATGGATTTATGTGGGCAACAATCATGAACTTTGGATTATTCAAACAATGACTGACATACCTACTTTAAATAATGTAGGTCAAACAAATTATAACTGTAGGTGTGGTTTGTCAATGGGAGACAACTTTAATCCTCTCAACAAAACATGATTCAAAAACACAAGAATTTCAACAATTCTGTTTAGATAAATATCACAAGAAAAGACAACAGATCTTGTCATATTATATAGACTCATCTGAATGACGTCACTTGGCCAACGTAGCACGTACACCAATTGCCATTATATTGTGCTTAGTCTGTATGACACTGACAGAGGTCAACATGCCTTCATGAAACCCTTTGCAATTCTAGTACTCTTTTCAGCCATTTAGAATAATAATATGTTTTTGTGGTACTGATACATTGCTCTGGAGCTTAACTGTTAAACTGTTTACCACTTTTTCAGCTAGAACACGGGCATAAAAGTATGTTAATTTCGTCGTTCATTTCAGCTGTTGGATAGGCGGACTTACTGTATGTCCGGTTGACGGTGGCCTGTGTTTACTTGACGATTTACCGGTACTTCCCGGTACGGTTTTAGCACCCACTCGGCAAAATTGTGAAACCAATCCGAGCGATCAGTTTAACTGACAGCCATCAATACATTTAAGTATGTACTGGTCAATATTAAGGGCCGCTATTATGTCTTACTAGCAAGGAAATCAGAAAATAAAGTATGACTTGTTATGTTAATAGACTGAGTGAATGTCGTCAGCCGATACAGTGGTTATAAAAACTTAAATTTGGAAGAAAATTAAACTGCCACTCTGAACAAGTGTCAGTTACATCCACCAAACGAACATGGCATCTCATTAAATCAGTAGTTTGGACTTACCACAACGGTGTATGAAGTTTTTCAAACGGAAAGACTTCCGAACACGTGAAAATGATTTCGATGTCACGTCGGATCATACAGGAAGAAACATCAACATTCACGATCTGAACGACATGTACAGGTTCGAAACAACCGGCTGTATCTCCACAAAAACGCAAGTGATTGCAATCAAACGGGTCTTAGTGGCTGAATAAAATGTGTGTTCATAAATTTTACACCCGTCGATGCGACACAGGACACGCTTCAGATGTTCAGGATGTTAAAACTTCAGCGGCAAAACAGGAAATTTTGAACCAAGATGGCGTAGCGGTAAAAACTGAACCATTCAGCATCCCATAATACTCATCAGATCACGTGACGACTAACCGTCCGATGACGTCATGTACTTCTGGAATCGCACTACTGAGCGCCTAATAGAGCGCTTACTAGTACTTGCGTACTATGTGTTTATAGAAAGTAAATTACAGTAAAATAAGAGAAACACAACAATAAAATGCGCATTTAATGATTAAAACAATAATAATTAGACTGGCACTAATACTAGAGATGCTTGTATTTTGAAAGATCGCTCTTATAATAACTTTTTTCACAACAATCAAAGGTTATTGTATTCAATAAATCAAACAGAGCCCTGAGCAATAATATATTCTTCTTCACTGAAAAAGAAATTGCCATTGTTAAGCAAATTAATTACCTGGGTATAACTATAAGTGCTAATGGCAAACATAAAGAGGGTATCAATAATTTAAAAAATAAAGGGATGAAAGCTCTCTTTGCTTTGAAATGCAAACTCGGTTATGACAACTCACTAAGCATACCCCTCCAACTATCTTTATTTGACAAACTGATAAGACCAGTTATTGTATATGGTAGTGATGTTTGGGGTGATGAAAGCACAACTAAGTCTGCAATTGAGGATGTTCATCTTTCATTTTGTCGGTTCATTCTTGGTCTCTCAAATTCACACCAAAAATGGCTGTTTATGGTGAGCTAGGAAGGTA